GCTAAAAAACAGCTCACCTCACTAGCGTTGATACAGAGCCTGGTGTTCAAGTCCTGCGGTTTTCAAGTCTGTGCACAAAGCGAAGCGCGCTCCCATGATGGAACTGGTAGGAACTGCTTCCCACCCAATGTAGTTCTACACCCTCCTCTTCCCCAGTTTATCTTTTGACAATCTCTGGAGCTCCGTTGCTCAGGTCAGGGATGGAGGACAGGCTGCTCCACGGCTGGGCCGTGTGGTGTGATCCAGGAAGCGGCCTCCACAGGGAAGTGGATTGGGAGTGATCCGAAAATGCGGCTGCTTCTGAAAACGCGCCTTGCGGCCCAGGAACAGAGTGGTTCGCTTTGCTTCGCGAATCGTAGCTCCGGAGATCATCGAAAGTTAAGTGGACAACGGCTGACTCATGGTGAGGAGTAGGGTGTAGAGTACCCTAAGGTGGGATTCCCCTGCAAGGACCCAGAGGGGTGGGAAATGTAGCATGGGGTTCCTCCAGCTGTAGAAGTCCTTGGTAGGCCTGGAGCAGGCCTGTGCTAGAGCTCCCAAGGCACCTACCACGTGCTCGGCTTAGCAAATCACATGGTTGTTTCATGGCAAGCAGGGTCATCTATGAGGCGATCACGTGGGTGCTTCACTTAACGTCCATCATGCAGGATCTATTACGATCGCAAGTTGAGGACTACCTGTCTATCCAACAGTTTTTGAAAAGCAAAACTCTCAACACTAAAGGGAGCTTTGGGAATGGTTGGCTGAAATTGACTCCCTGCTGGGTTATTTTGGCGTGAGCAATCGTTCAGAATTCAACACAGCAGGGTGCACCCGCGCCCCCCAGAATTGGCTCCCATTCTTGAAAGGGCTACTTCGGTTCCCTCCCATCGTGCAGAGCCAGAACTGGCTGCATTTCCTTTGTGCAGAAGGAAAGCAAACCAGGCTCGCTGCAGGGCAGGGAATTGGCTGGGTTCCTTCGTGTAGCATGTGGGCAGGCGGTGCTGCAGCGAGGTTGGAACGCAGGAGGGTCTTTCAGCCGTGCACAAAGAGGGTCCTCCTTAGCCCGTTGACCAGGGCAGCCCGCTGGGTGGATAAGGCCGTGTCCGTTGGGAGAAGCATGCCCCATGACCTTTTCTTTCAATCCCCCCAGATGACGGGCTGGCCTTCAAAGCCGAGGTGCTCCAAGCTCAGCGAGCGCTGTGTGAAAGCTTGGGGCTCAAGTGCACGGACGAGACGCTCCTCCACGCTCACCCGCAAGCAGCCTCCGTCGGCAGCCGGTACTTTGTACAACAACGAAGACACACCGAGAATCCCGGGCAGGAAGAAGAGGCTTTGGCCGGAGAAGGCAGCTTCGACGGTCCTGACGCCCCGACAGATTCATGTGACCGCCCGGAGGACAAAATGTTCGTCTGCCCTGACTGCGGGAAACGTTTCCGCCTTTACAAGAGCCTCGTGTGCCACCAGAAAAGCCATGCTGCAGCACCGGCGGCCTGCGAAAAGAGCTTCACCTACAAGCAGCAGTTCACCCTGCACCAGCACATCCACACCGGGGGCGGAGGGTATACCTCGGTGGCCTGTGAGGAGACCTTTAAGCAAAGCCATAATTTGAAGCCCCTTCCTCGGGGGCCGGGAGCAGACAAACCGTACGGGGGCGCCAAGTGCATGAAGACTTTCAATGTCAAATCATCCTATCGGCAGCACCCCAAGAGTCATGGGCGTGAGCGACCGTACCGCTGCAGCCGGTGCCCGGAGAGTTTCTCCCAAAAGAAAAGCCTTGTCACGCACCAGCGGCTCCACTCTGGGCGTGGCGGCAGCTCCTTGGCCTGCCTCTATTGCGGCAAGAACTTCAGCCATCCCTCAGACCTGGTCCGGCACCAGCGCATCCACACCGGAGAGAGGCCCTACCGTTGTGACGAGTGCGATAAAAGCTTCACCCAGAAGCAACATCTTCTCCAGCACCAGAAAATCCACCTGCGTGAGCAGAACAGGCTGATGGGTACAGCTGTCCGGGAAGCCCTGTTGGACGCCATCTTCATTTAGTCCAGTCCTGCGAGGACGCCAGGCTACCTCAAAAAGGCATGTCCTGGACGGACTCCCCCTCTCTAGCCTGGAGTTCAGATTCCCAGACGTTGGCGCTCCATCGTAGCAAGGACATTTTTGTACGGGGTTTCTAGCTAATGCTTCCGAATGGCAAAAGCTAACAAAAAGGGGTAGTAGCCAAGGACTTCCAGGATTGCCGTTTCGGTCTTCTTTGCAGTGTACAATACTGTAGGTATTGTGTTTTCCCCTAACCACAAGGTCTCCAGGTCAAAGTCCTGGAGACGTGGGGACTGTACAGAGGCGATCTCTCGGTTCGCTGTTGGGTGAACTCAAATGGGTCTGAGCAGGACACATTTTTTTTAAACGTATATTTTCTGGATTTCTTTTTTTTCTTTGTTGTTCTGTGGAAACTGAGAAATAAACTAGAGATGTGAAGAAATGGCTTTGTGTATGGCTCTTGTTTCCCCCCCCCCCCCGACTGTGAATCAGAGTTGGGGGGGGCATGTGTGTTAATTTTTTTGATTATGTAAACATACCTAGATGAACAGGAGCATCTTATCATCATCATCATCATCATCATAATTTAATGCCCCCCCCCATCCTTTGCAGGGTGGAGTCTGGGCAACTGAATGGAGCTAGTAAAGTGGTTAATGGCTGGATGCCCTTCCTGTCGCCGGAGTTTTGTTCAGCAGATATATTCTCATTGTGCCCAGAGAGAGAAATATCTGCCTCTACTTAGGATTGAACTTGCAGCCCCCTGATTGTGAGGGCGAGAGCTCCACCCTATAGGCCACTGTACCACTTGAACAGGAGCATCTTATAACTACCCTAGGATCCTTTTCCAAAATAAACGAAGCGCTTTATTCTCTAAACACTTAAAAAACCAACTCCTGATAGATGTATTTAAAACAAATTGAAACAATTTAAGGAAAACTGTCCTTTTGGGGGGGGGGGGCGGGATAGGGGGGGAAATGGCTTAAATTAAGCCATAATGTGACAGTCATAAAGTAACATTATTTTTCCTACTGATGTTTTCAGCCTGGCAAATTTGGAAATGGTTTGGTCTGAAAGGTTTAGGGCGTTGTACAAACCAGTTATTCTGGCTTGTCCCTCTCAGAGGAAGCTAGAGTCCTGGTTGCATTACTGGCTAAACAAGCCATACATTCTTTCCTTGGCTCCCCAAATTGCTGGGATCTGCTAGTTCAGGGGTCTGCAACCTGTGGCTCCGGAGCCACATGCGGCTCTTTCCCCCTCTGCTGCAGCTCCCTGTTGGCTGATCCTACCACTGGCTGGCCCCTCCCCTCCCCGTCACTTCTCGCCTGGCCTGGCCTGGCCTGGCCTCCATATTCCAAAGCAGGAGGTGACTGGGTGGGAGTGAGTGACGGTTGAGTTGGCCACGCCCACCCAGTCACACCGGTTGTTAAATTATTGGCTCCCGGTGTTTCTTCTCTGTGGGAAACGGGTCCAAATGGCTCTTTTGAGAGTTTAAGGTTGCAGCCCCCTGTGGTAGTTAAAACCCAAACTAGCGAGCAGAGCCACATGCGAGTTGCAGCGTGACTCCAGCCAGTGAAATAATTGCAAATTGTGTATTTTGAATGAACCTTTTGATTTGCTGAAAAATCTTTGCGTCCATCGTTTTCAAAAGGCCAAAGTGGGACCTTAAATGCCTATGTTGTATCCACCAAAATTGGTGCTCCTTTAACTTTCTGGTGTCCTTCAATGTTGGTTCTGGAGGATGGGAGACAAACTCGGAAACAATATAAGCTCCGAGTGCCCCACTTGCTTGGGGGTTTCCTTGCAGACATTTCATGACCTACGTAGGGAACAACATCAGTGCTTGAAGGAAGGAGGGTGTTGGTTAGGAGGAGGAGGGCAATGATGACTATGGGGTCCTCGATCCTCTCTGAGTTTGGGTGTTTTGTGGCAGACGTTTCACGACCCTACTAGGTAACAGCATCAGTGTTAGAAGCCTAACATAAGTCTTCTGACATTGTTGATGTTACTTATTTGGGTCATAAAACGTCTGCAAGAAAACCACCAAACCAGAGATCACCTAGGATTGTTCGATCTGGATTTATTTCCTCACCATCTTTTGCCTTTTCCTTTTTTGTATTGTTACATGTTTTCAAACGTTCCAAGTGTTTTTTGTAACAATTTGTAAACCGCTCGGAGTTGGGCGGCCTGTAAATGTAATAAATTATTATTGTGGTCCTCAAACGAGCTGTCCTAGTCTGAGGATATTCATCCAGCGGTCCTCGTGCGCCACCATCCATAAAAGTCAAGCACAAGATCCTAAGTTCCTTGTAAAATTGGGAAGGCCTTTTCACTTGTGTTTGCTGGGCGTGATCTACATTCAGCCTTGTAGTATCCGGGTCTTGTATATTCGAGAGCGCTATTTTCCAAAAAACACCCCCTAAATCCTTCGCTCAGAATCCTCTAATGTGGAATTAAATGCCTGCCTGTTTTTTTTTTTGTTTGTTTGTTTTTTCATTCACCCCAATTCTTCTCTTTGGTCTTTTCCATTTTCACTGCAGAGTTTTGGGTTTTGTTGAGTCCCTTGACGTCATATCTCAGTAAAGGATTGTTGATGGTTCCCCAGCATTGTTTCTCAGGAACTTGTAAGTTGTGTGGATTTCAACTCCCAGAATTCCCTGACTAGGCATGCTAGGAAATTCCGGGAGCTGCACGCCACACATTTGAAAGTTGTTGAGATTGAGAAAGGCCGATTGATGTGAATTGTTAAATAAACAAAGCATTTTTTTAAAGAAGATGGTAGGGTTCGGGGCAGTCTTTCTCAACCCTGGCAATTTCAAGATGGGTGGACTTCCAGCTGGGGAATTCTGGGAGTTGAAGTCCACCCGTCTTGAAGTTGCCAAGGTTGAGAAAGACTGGTTTGGGTGTGTGTGCTGTGCATTCCTATGTGTGGTGGGACTAAACCATGACGAATGTTGGGTTTATGCTGTCCTTATTTCCTGCAGCCCTCGCAACAAACCACATCTTAATCAAAACGGAGCCAGACGACGACTCTGCAGCCCATGAGACCTGGATGATGGCGGGAGAGACATTTGTGGAAAGAATTATAAAGAAAGAAGAGGACTTCGATTCCTGTATGTGGCCAAGGGACTCTCCAGGGGAGACAGCCGACTACGAGGGCAGTCCGGCGGAAGAAGCAGCTGCTCATGTCCGCCGGCAGTGTCAGATTGGCCGCCAAGAGCGCCCACAAAGTTACAGAAGTCTCACCCCTTCGGGGCGAAATCTCTCCTTGCCACTCGTGAATGGGAGCCCTCTGATGTCACCTCAAGAGACAGGGCAGCCATCTGCCGGTCCGCCGGGAGAGAAGCTGTGGGCTTGTCCGCTGTGCCACCAACGCTTCCGACTCCACGTCCACCTGCTGCTCCATCAGAACACCCACCGGGAAGCGCCTGCCGAGCCTGTGCCGAAGGACCCACTGGGCTGCCCCTACTGTCCCCGGCGTTTCGGCCGCTCAGATCACCTGCTACGTCACCAGATGAGCCACACGGGCGCCCGGCCTCATCAATGCCCGGCATGCGAGAAGAGCTTTACAGACAAAAGCAAGCTGACCAATCACTTCCGGACCCACACGGGAGAACGCCCCTTCCACTGCACAGACTGCGGGAAGCACTTCGTCCGGCGGCACCACCTGGCCAAGCACCAGCGCACCCACACAAGGGAGCGGCCCCACCAGTGCCCGCTCTGCCCGAAGAGCTTCATGCAGAAGCACCACCTGCAGAAACACCTCCGCACCCACACAGGGGAGAAGCCCTACAAGTGCGGCCTGTGCCCCAAGGCTTTCGCCTGCAAGCAGCGCCTGCTGCAGCACAGCTGCACCTTGCCTCCGGTGCCCCCCGCTGAAACCGCCGGGCGGCCCTTGGCCCTCCTGAAAGGGACGCCCGCTTCCTGACCCACTGACGCAACCGGGACTTCGCCCCACCTCACCCCCTTTGCTGGGGCCATTGTAGTTCCGCTTGACCGTCATTCAGATACAGAAATTCAACTCTCCAGGTGCCATGTAGCTTCCCTTCTTTGTGGATTATGTTTCTAGGGAAGTCAGGCTGGCGAAGATTCTGTTCGGTTGGACAGAAAAACAAACAAACACTGATCATCCCTTGAAGGTCCCGAATCAGGCTTTGATCAGCCCTGGAAGGTCCTCTATCACCCTTTGATCAATTATTGACAATCCTGAGTCAGCCTTTGATCGGAAGGTCCTTAAGCGTTGGGTCAAATGTGGTTGACCAATCACCTTCATCTTCATTCAGTCTGTGGCCAACTCTGCGTTTCATTGTTTAAGAAGGTCCCAAAAGGAGGTGGACCTGGAAGTGAACAGGGCAGAGGCTGCTGTTTTTTGAAGGCTTCCTTGGAGGCTCATCGTCGTGAAGATGTGACTATTAGATCAAGAAAGGAATTCCCTGGTTGTCGTGGACTCTGTTTTGGCTTCCCCCAGGCAGATCCTGGGCCTGTCTGCTCGGAAACCCAAGTTTGAGAAGTGGAATGGCTTGCCCCAGAACTTGTGGATGCTCTATCAATGGAGTTTTCCAAGAAGAGACTAGACCTCCATTTGTCCAGAATGGGACAGTGTGTCCTGCTCAAGCAGAGGTTTGGAGTAGAAGACCTCTGCGGTCCCTTCTGACTCTCGTTATTCTGCAATTCCCAAGTAAACAGAACAAGACAGGATTTTGATCGGATCACCATTGGACTTCCTGAATTCTCTGCAGCTTTCCCACCCCCTCTTTATTTCAAGGCCCAAAAGATGCCGTTTGTGTCTCAGCTGCTTGCGTCGCCTCCGAGACCTTGTGTGGGAACTTGGTTGTTGGGATGGGGAGAGACACAGAAAGGAGCCGAGGAGGAGCCAAAGTGTGACTAGGATTATGTTGGTTTTTTTCCATTATGCTCAATTTCTATGCTGTTTTATAAGCGCTGTTGTAACTCTCGGAGGAAAACTTCCCCAAAAAGCTGAAACTTGGGGATGGGTGGCCGAAAGAAAAGTGTTCTTTGCTTTTTTTTTTTCCTTCTTTTTCTTTTTTAATTTGTGTAAAGTCTCTGTTTTCCGTGCTTCCTCTTTTCCCTTGATTAAAAAGTTAAGATGAGCTCGTGCATGCGAGGAAATGATAGGGTTTTTAATTTTTTTGTTTTGTTTTGTTCTCCCCGAACTTTGGTCAGGCCGTCAAAAATCAAATCTTCACAAAAAGAAGAGAGAACCTTAAAATGCTGGAGAACGAATATTGTATCCAGTGAAGCCCTGCTGGATTTATCTATACATATAAAAGCGAAATATACCACTCGCGCATCATCACAAAATCTCCGGAACCGTAAAGCCTACAAACTTGACATTTGGCCCGGATGTTCCTCTAGGCTTCTAGGGGCTCACTAAGAAAGGATTTTTCGAAATGACCATTGAATCATTAGTATTTCATTAGTATTTCTTCTACAGCAATTAACACACTCTGATGCTAAGGAGTTCTACTCCCCCTCCCCACCTGAAAAGAAATCTGTTCCCACGGCAAAACACAAGCAGAGGAGTTTCAGTTTCAGTTTTAGTTTCACAGCACCAAGCAGCTTTAGTACAGAGCAGTTGAGCTAAGCCACGCCCAGGCTCCTTGCTGTCTCCTTGCTCACCCAGCAAATACTGTTTCAGTTTCCAAACAGCCCTCAACTCTCACACACTGACAGGATGCTAGCCAGATGAATACCGATGGATGCTGGTAGGCAGAGGCAAAATTTTCTTTTCCTTCTTTTCCTCCCCAAAAACTTAGCCCAACCACATAGTTTCGTAGCAAAACATGGGTATCCAGCTAATTCATTTATATACTGCTTCAACCCCAGTTCATTGTTGCATTCAAGGCCCCTTTTGCTATGGGTTTTATTTTTTCTTGCAGTCCTATGGGCTAGTGGCCTGAAAGACCATGATTTATCCAGGGAGCTTCCATGGATTTCAATCTCTGTCTTCCCTGTTTGGCCAACTGCTCTGTGGCCACCCATTTTGACCACTGATGGCCCACCTTGTCGAGCTTGGAAGGCAGCCTTAGATCTGGGGCTATCTCCCAGAGAGTAAAGATCAGACAAGATACAAAATTCAAGTTAGTTACAGGGAAGACAGAAGAAGGAAGGAGGGCAGTGAATTTATTTGAGTGGTCTGTAAGTATAATAATAGCAATTAAACAACACATGGACAGACTCTGCCATAGTTTCAAGTGGGAAACTTGAGTCGTTTAGATTAAGCTACATCCCGAAACACTGGAGAATTTCTGGTCATTTGACACTTAGAAAAATCGGCCATTGACGGGCACACTGTGCTAAAAGACCTTTACCCACCCTTCAAAACTGACAATCCAAATGCTAAGAATGAAACAAGATCGAAACACCTCATTAATGACTTAGATGAGGAAATAGAAGGGGAACTTACCAAATTTACAGATGATACTAAGCTGGCAGGAATAGCTAACACCCAAGAAGATAGGCTCAAGATCCAGATGGATCTCGACAGACTAGAACCCTGGGCCCTATCTAACAAAATGAAATTCAATGTAGAGAAAAGTAAAGTCTTCCATCTAGGCAAGAAAAACCAAAAGGACACATATAGATTGGGTGAAACCAGACTCGATAGCCGTAACTGTGAGAGGGATCTTGGAGTCTTAGTGGACAACCAGCTAAATAGGAGCCAGCCGTGTGCAGCAGCTGCCAAAAAAGCCAATGCAATCCTAAATTGCATTAACAGAGGGATACAATCAAGATCAAGGGAGGTACTAATACTACTTGAGGTATTAGTACCTCAAGGGAAGTACTAATACTTTACTCTGTAAAGCCTTAGTAAGACCACACCTAGAGTACTGCACCCAGTTTTGGTCATTACACTATAAAAAGATGTTGAGACTCTAGAAAAAGTGCAGAGAAGAGCAACCAGGATGATTAAGGGACTGGAGGATAAAACATACAACGATCGGTTGCAGGAACTGGGCCTGGCTAGTCTAGTGAAGAGAAGGACCAGGGGAGACAGGATAGCGTTCTTCCAATATTTGAGGGCAGGAGGTTGGACTAGATGACCTACAAGGTCCCTTCCAACTCTGACTTTAATCTGACTAATGATCAAAAGGACCAGGGGAGACAGGAGAGAAGTCTTCCAATATTTGAGGGGCTTCCACAGAGAGGAGGAGGAGGTCAAGCTATTCTCCAAAGCACCTGAAGGCCAGAGAAGGAATAATGGATGGAAACCGATGGAGGAGAGATTCAACCTGGAAATAAGGAGAAACTTTCTGACAGGGAGAACAGTCAACGGATGGAATAGAAGTTGCCCTCGGAAGTTGTGGGAGCTTCATCCCTGGAGGCTTTCAAGAAGAGGCTGGACTCCCATCTGTCAGAAATGGTGTAAGGGGGGGGTGGTTTGGACTAGATGATCTAGAAGGTCCCTTCCAACTCTGTTAATCTGTTTAAAAAAAAAGGGAGGAGTCCGCCAAGATGCCCGGAGGCACGAACAGGTAGTCTTCGACTTACAATGGTTTGTTTAGCAGGTCAAGCTATTCTCCAAAGCACCTGAAGGCCAGAGAAGGAATAAT